GACCTAAATGCCTGATAGTCGTACGGTATTCTAGTCGGTTAGACTCCAATGACCGACAGGACTTCTACCATAAGTCCTCTCATACTTTTGACATGTACCGCAATCTCGACACTTACTCGGACCTAAATGCCCGATAGTCGTACGGTATGTTTGTCTGTTAGACTCGAGAGATTACCTGGACCCTGACTTGGTCTCTGACTCTCGTTTTCTCTCTCTTCTCGCTTCTCGCTCTATCTTGACTGCTGCTCCCCCGACTGACAGCGCAGCCCAATTTATATATGTCGAGTCCGTGTAGGTAGATGGTGATTACACGAGTGTGGGCGTTCTCGTGAATCATGATCCTGTGGGTGTCCTCGGGACTCGCTCATGTGAGCGTACCCGAAGATCACGCTTATGTGGGTGGCTGATGTTACCCGAGAATCACGCTGTCGCTTAATTCACACTTTATCTCGTTATCCACGCTTTCAGCCCACCACACAGAATCCCACGCGTCCACTTTCTCTCGTGCATGCACGCCTTGCTCATGAATAGACATTTTCACTGGTCTGCTCTTAATACTCAGTCCTGTTGACACTCTTCCCCCGTGAACTTACAGGAAGTACAGTCATACCATTGCCCCTTCCCACAAATCACACTTTGCCCAAATCAGCGCGCAACATGGGTACAGGGCAAAAGTTGAAAGCTCAGAGAAACAGAAGATTAATTGCAAAGCATTTTTTGACAAAATTAAACTTCAGCCTTAAAGGAACAGTTTAATTCACAAAAATGATAACTGTATGTGTGTGCGTTCATGTGAGCATAACTAACAAACATTGCTAGATTTATTTAGTGTGCTCTGACTAAACAAATGAAGCCCAGTTACCTGCATGTTGACTTGTAAAAACTTGATTATTGTTATTTGGGAGAAAAAAAAAGAATGTTTTATCATGCCAGGGGCAAATATGCTTTCAGAAAACTGCAAGCTCAAATGGAGGACAATTCTGAAGCAATTGCCAGACTCACAGCTCTGATAGAGGCAGAGAGAGACAGCCACCAGGCTGCTATACAACATGAAGTGAAGCTTGCCAAACAGCTCAGACGAGATTTAGATCAGCTGAGGGTAGGTGCTTATTTCTCTGTTACTGTGACTGTCAATAAATTGCTGACCGAGTGGTTAAAAACAATTAGCTCTCATTTAGGAGACCTGTGTTCGAATCCTCTGTAATGTGGTGAATTTTGTTTCTGATGGAAGCAGAAATAACTAGCTATGTAGCTCTAAATCCTTAGGCTCAAACTCTCTTGTCCTACACCACTACAGAAAGCGGTAAATGCAGGTACTTATTACAGATTTATTTTTTTATGTTAGATACTCAGGGCTGTTTTATTGTAGTTCTATGAGTATTCCTGCATGATATATAGAGCTAGTTTTAACACATGGCTGTGAATCCTGAACAATCAGTAAACAAGCCAGACAATCTCTTGAAGCATAGGAGATGCGGTTTTACAGAAGGATCTTAGAACTGCTTGGACAACAACAACAAAACAAAAGAGCAACCCATATCTCTAGAGGGAGGTGAGGGCTCGTAGACAGTTGTCACAAACATCTGAAACATTATTTTTGGTCATGTTATGAGAAGAAGGAAAGTGGAATATATTGTGACCACTGGAAAGATCTATGGAAAAGAGACAGAGAAAGGCAATGAAAAAAACGATTCTTGACAGCCTTTTATCACGGCATGGAGGGGTGTCTGCTCCGCACGCAGACTGATACATGCTGTTGAAAATCGCAGATTGTAGATAGGGCATGATTGCCATGTCATTTGGCAAGGCACTTGATGATGATGAATATAGCTTTGATAATAGTTGTAATGTTGTGTCATATTACTACAATAATGCAGTGTCATAGCATTGTAGTAATAGTGTGTCATGTATCTGTAAAAATGTTCTAGTCTATGGCTGCATTAGTGTGTTGTCATATGGCTGTAATAATGTGGTATATGACAAATACTATCATAATACAGTAACTACATTTAAGCTTTGCTTCATTCACAGTCTGAGAACGGTCAGCTAAAACATCTCTATGAAGTTGAAAGATCACATGCAGAAGCTTTGAAATCCAACAATTTTGAAAGTGCTAGAGCTGAAATGATGGAGCAGAGAAGAAGTGAAGACACAGTGAGTACCCACAGGACAAGTCAGAGCAATCTTCAGGCGACAGAAAAGCACAGCGAGGAGCTCATTGACAGAGTGGTAATATATAATCTATGTCATTAAGTGTCATAGATGTATAACAGCACCCAGTTTTTCCTTTTGGTCAAGAAATATTAATTAGCTGTTCTTTGTTTAAAAACAATTACTTTTTTGCAGCCCTATAATTTTGAACCTTGTAGTTAATGTAGTTATCACAAACTACTGGACAGGAATTTTTTTGGTCCCAGCGGAACACAACACAAATTTATCACATTACACTAGATTTGAACCTTGATTTCCCCAAAAAAAAGTACTCATTTACCCAAATAAATGTTGAAAATGTACTGGGTGTGGTTGAAAGGATCTGCCTTGGTATGTTTTTCAGTCAGTATTCATGGGTTAACAGATTCTATTCCTAGCTGATGACTATCAGATGTTCCTCCTACTTGACCACTCAGCTCTCAGTTTTCACTATAAATGGATGGGATGTATTGACTGACCAATGACAGAAGATGGGATGTTTTGACTGACCAATGACAGAAGATGGGATGTATTGACTGACCAATGACAGAAGATGGGATGTATTGACTGACCAATGACAGAAGATGGGATGTATTGACTGACCAATGACAGAAGATGGGATGTATTGACTGACCAATGACAGAAGATGGGATGTATTGACTGACCAATGACAGAAGATGGGATATTCACATTATTTTTATGTAGTAATTTATTATTATTACTTTTCTACTTCTTATTTCTCCTACCTGGCCACAGTTCTCAGTTTTCACTATAAATGGATGGGATGTATTGACTGACCAATGAATGTTGCTGGGTATAGAGCAAGATGGGATATTCAAATTATTTGTATGAAGTAATTTATTATTGTTATTACTATTCTCGTTGTTGTTCCTCTTCTTCTTCTTCTTCTTCTTCTTCTTCTTCTTCTTCTTCTTCTTCTTCTTTCTTCTTTTTCTTTTTCTTCTTCTTCTTCTTCTTCTTCTTCTTCTTCTTCTTCTTCTTCTTCTTCTTCTTCTTCTTCTTCTTCTTCTTCTTCTTCTTCTTCTTCTTCTTCTTCTTCTTCTTCTTCTTCTTCTTCTTCTTCTTCTTCTTCTGCTGCTGCTGCTGCTGCTGCTTCTTCTTCTCTTCCTCCTCCTGCTTCTTTTCTCTTTCTTCTGAGCCACACCTTCTGTTTCTTTTTTACTCTTTCTTTGTCTACTCCTCCTTTTCTTCATTTTTCTTCTTCTCCTTTTCTTCCTCCTCCCAACTCCCCTCCTTCTCCTACTCTTTGATCTTCTTCTATGCTCACTCTCCTGCTGTAGCTGGAACAACATATTCAAACAGTGTAATAAAGCCAGTCAGTGAACAAAACAACCTGACATGACAATGCAGACAGAATAGAATTACCTCTGTCCCTCTTGCAGTCACCAAAGCATATGTTTGAAGACTGTACTTTGCACAGTTTAAGATATAGCATCCTTACACCCAGGTTTTCATGTTTCTTACATTCCAGAAGGAGCTAGAGGTGGAGCTGGCTCGGGTGCAGGAAAGAGCAAGTGAGTTGGAGAAGGAACTGGAGACAACCAGATCAAAGTCACACCGCATTCAGTCAGCTAGATCAAGTCATGTGTCCCAGACAGAATCAAGGACCCTTACTAGTGTTAGTGCTCTTGTTGTTGTTGGCATGGCTGGCTTATCACTTAGATATCTTCCCATGTGGGTTCCACAGCCCCATTGGGGGAAAGGGGAAGGGAACAAACGAATAGAACCCACTGCCCACCCCTTGGAATTGACTAATTAGGGGTGTTTTCTTCAAAGTTGGAGTGCATCTACCTGAGAGGCAAAGAACAAAGTCTGCATACAAATAAGCCACATCTTTAACATTAAAATGGATGTGCACACAAAACTCAAGTTCTGGAACAAGACAAAAGTCCAGAAGTGGGCAAATGATCAGAACTTTCCACCAGAGTTTACAGCTGGTGAACGCAAACAAATGAACTTGGATATCCAGAACATAGTCAGATAATCATATCTTATCTTGGCTTTCTGTCTCAAATTCTTTCGGGCTCTATATATGTCACTTTCTTCTGTCACACACACACACACTCTCTCTCTCTGTCTGTCTCTCTGACTCTCTCTGTCTCTCTCTCTGTCTCTCTCTGTGTCTCTGTCTCTGTCTCTCTCTCTCTCTATCTCTCTCTCTCTATCTCTCTCTCTCTATATATATATATATATATATATATATATATATATATATATATATATATATATATACTCCATCTCATGATCTGTCTCTGTCTAATTTCTGTTAAATTTTTCTGTTGTCTTTTTTTTATCTTTGTATATCTCACTCTGCATTTCTTACTTTATCTCTCATTCTCTCTGTTTGTTACTCTGTCTCACCATCTCTAATTCTTGCGTGCTTAATTTTTTCACCTCACTTCTCCCCCCCCCCCCCCCCCCAGATTTTTTTCTCCTCATCCTTTCTCCCACATACATATGAAGACATATACTTTCTTTTAATGTTTTATATCTTTTATCATGATGCCTTTATTACATACCGTCTCAACTGTTCTGACACAGGCTTCGGTAGATCAAGAACTACTGTCACGGCTGAGCCATTGCTGTTCCAAACTCCAAAGGCTAGCTGGTCAGCTCCATGATATGACCACTTCAAGCAGGCAGCACAGACAGTCACCTGTCTTTGATGAGGCAGAAGAAAGTGATGCACTGGTCACCATTATGTCAGAATTGAGAGAACTAAGGTCAGAGATCAAAATAAAAGAGGAGACTGCTCAGACATTAGAGGTAATTTTTATTCTGTATATCCCAGGCAATAGACCTTGTGGTGGTCAGCATTTATCTACACTTCTTTCACTTAACATAAAATAACCTGTGTTGGTTCCAAGGCCTCTTGGTGGGAAAGGAGGGAGAGATAGACCCACTGATACCCTAATATGCATATCGTCTAAGATGACTAATTAAGGGTTTGCTTCATTTGGATGGGTAGGGCCGATAGGCATTAATATCACAGCCTGGCTGTAAACAACACAACATACCAATTGCCGTTTTAAGAGTGAAAGAAGAAGAAGCTGCCAGTTGTTTTCTAGTTTGTCTGCTTTTTATTATTAGTGTGCCACATGCATAAAAATGTTTAGATTCAGTATGAGAAGTTTATGGTCAAGGTTGTTTATAGTGAGTTTATGGGATCACTAGTGCAATTTTGATGGAGATCCCTGGGGATCATCACTGGAGCTATGGAGGTTGTGCTCTGTGCGATGCTCTCGGCAGACAGCTAGCTTTCTGCAGAGAGAGACTGAGCCATATGGGAAAAAAACTGGTGTAATGGTCGATCCTCTCACCTTTACCTTTACTACCTTTACCTAGTCATTAGAAGGATTAGTCCTTAAAAAGATCTACCACAGATCCATCCACCGGCTTTCTTGATCATGGACTGGCGAAAAGGTCCACCCCAACCTGACTTGAACAAAGATCCACCACAGACTCACCCACCGGCTTTCTTGATCATGGACTGGTCATGAGAAGGTCCACCCCAATCTGACTTGAACAAAGATCCACCACAGACTCACCCACCGGCTTTCTTGATCATGGACTGGTCATGAGAAGGTCCGCCCCAATCTGACTTGAACAAAGATCCACCACAGACTCACCCACCAGCTTTCTTGTTCATGGACTGGTCATGAGAAGGTCTGCCCCAATCTGACTTGAACAAAGATCCACCACAGACTCACCCACCAGCTTTCTTGTTCATTGTTCATGAGAAGGTCCGCCCCAATCTGACTTAAACAAAGATCCACCATAAATCCATCGACAGGCTTTCTTGTTTAGGGACTGGCCACGAGAATATCTAACCCAGTCTGACATGAACCTCTTGAGTTTAATTTTTCTGTGACTAACAGTATATAAGACTAAGACAAAATACAACCTGAAAGTTCATGTTCAAGCTGGGCAGACCAAGGCCTAAGCTTTGGTTGGCAGCTGGTTTAGTAGAGAAACTCCAACTGACGGACAGACAGAGCACAGCTGTTTTGATCTGACAGCTTCTGCTGTATGCTTTGTTCAAAATATATTGATGTTACCTTCACTTTGGAGTAAACAAAACAGGCCAAGGGATCTTGCATCATGGGCAACACAAGGTTTATGCAATACTGCTTTGTGCTGTTGAGAGAAGACATTTCATCCCTGGCCTGAACAGGGACAGGTCTTGCTAGTCAAGCTCACCATCACCATTGGCTGATTGATATGCCACTCTTTAGCACAGTATAACACTGTTAACTGGACAGGTACCAGCAGAATTTTTGTTGATAACTGTTAACTGGACAGGTGCCAGCAGAATTTTTGTTGATAACTGTTAACTGGACAGGTACCAGCAGAATTTTTGTTGATAACTGTTAACTGGACAGGTACCAGCAGAATTTTTGTTGATAACTGTTAACTGGACAGGTGCCAGCAGAATTTTTGTTGATAACTGTTAACTGGACAGGTGCCAGCAGAATTTTTGTTGATAACTGTTAACTGGACAGGTACCAGCAGAATTTTTGTTGATAACTGTTAACTGGACAGGTACCAGCAGAATTTTTGTTGATAACTGTTAACTGGACAGGTGCCAGCAGAATTTTTGTTGATAACTGTTAACTGGACAGGTGCCAGCAGAATTTTTGTTGATAACTGTTAACTGGACAGGTGCCAGCAGAATATATGTAGACAGTTATGACATTTTTTGTTTAATATGTTTCAAATGCACATTAAATAATTTCTACATTTTCTGTAGACTGAAGGTTCAGCATCATCATCATCATCTGCTGAGATGGTCAAACTGCGTGAACATAATCAACAGCTGGCTGAGCACATTGTAAAGGTGAATAAAGAGAAAGAGAAGTTATTGGATACACTGAAGAATCTAGAGAGGAGATTGCATCTGACGGTCAAGAAGGACTCACAAGCACAAGTGAGCATTTATCTCTTTGTTCCCTAGTCTGTATGCTAGTGTAGCTTTGGGGACATTGTGGTTAATGTTTGGTGAACATAATGGACAGCTGGATGATTAGTGAAAAATTTTTGGAAGTGGAGAAGATGTGGGTTTTTTTTTTTTAAATAAAAGATGAGAATACTCTGAACAGATAAAAAAAATAGTAATAAAGATGTCTTGAAAGAAACCGACTCACAAAGAGAACCGGTTGCCCACACCAGGAGACGTACTTTCTTTGATCATATCATGAAAATGAAAACACTCTAGTACATCTTGACAGTGGGAAAGTTGGAGGGAAAAAGAGGCAGAGGGAGAACAAGAGAAAAGATGCTGGACTGTTTATTTATCATGGCATAGAAGATCTTCTTTGTCAATTTTGATTGAAAGTACGCGAGACAGAAGGTGGTGGATAGACTTGGTTACTAATGCCACACATTATGGACTATAAGAAGATGACATCACTGTAGAAGTGATTTCATTCCCTTGTTAGGGAGTAATTCTTGATTTGTATCTTTAAAGAGCTCTGAGGTAGTCATAGCTTTTTAGAACAGAAACCAGAGATAGCTTTCTTAGGAAAGGTTGGTAAAGAAGGGGAATAATCACCTTGTATCACAAAGTTTTGAGTTGGTCCAGCCTCCTAAAGTAGCAAGATTTCTCTGGGTTGTGGTGGAGAAGGGGAACCAGTTGCTTCAACTTAACCCTTATGCCTATTATATGTTAGTTGTATCACATCACACCCTACAGTATGAGCCATTGTTGGCAAACAAATATATCTGACCTGTGAATTAGAATTGAACGACACGACCAAACATCATGTTCAATAGTTAGACAGATATGCTTTTTTTAATTTTTATGTCTTTCTCTCAGGCACAATATATATACATTCAGACAGACAGACTCTGCAACTTTCAGTCCCAGAGTGATAAATTATAACCTGGGTGTACATATAAATAGGCAAGTGAATATAAAGTATACAGACTTGACTGCCACCTGGTAAATCTTTTGTACTTGTGCTTTATTCAACAGGTAAACATTCCCCAGTACATATCAGACACTGCCAGTGAGGAAGATAGCGTCTACGATCGCACAATCTGGGCCAGCGAGCGACTTAGTCTTCAGATAGCCCTGGACTCAGCCGAGCATGAGATACAGCGTTTAAGAAGTGAAATTCAGAATTTTAAGAGTTCACTCAGTGTAAATGGCCATGGTGCTCACACAGATCCTGACAAGGTAGTGTAAACTGTAGCATTTTTTAAATTGTTTATCAATGAATGATTTCCAAGAATAGGCACAGGTTTTGATATTAAACAGAAAAGTAAGAAACCCTTTTCTGTATACAAGGTTTCCTAGAGACCGAATTGTGTTTCAACTAACAGGTTGAAGGTCGAATTGGTCAGATATATATTTTTCAACACTATTTTTATTTAGATGGGTTCTAAAAATTTTACATAAAACCCAAAAAAATGTAATAAATGTGTTTTATAATTATTGTACTTAGGCTTGTATGTACACTGTAGGCATCAGTTCCTGAAACTGTCTTTTACCCTACCAGTGTAATCTTTCTTTATTTACCTTTTGGAGAAGGGGGGGGGGGGGTGGTCATAAGTTTGGATGGTAGTTTGGTTACTTAAGTTACAAGTCAAGGAGTCGGTGTATTGGGTTTGTTTCGGATATATTGTGTTAGCCCACTTAAGTTACAAGTCAAGGAGATTGTGTATTGGGTTTGTATCGGATATATTGTGTTAGCCCACTTAAGTTACAAGTCAAGGAGACTGTGTATTGGGTTTGTATCGGATATATTGTGTTAGCCCACTTAAGTTACAAGTCAAGGAGACTGTGTATTGGGTTTGTATCGGATATATTGTGTTAGCCCACTTAAGTTACAAGTCAAGGAGATTGTGTATTGGGTTTGTTTCAGATATATTGTGTTAGCCCACTTAAGTTACAAGTCAAGGAGACTGTGTATTGGGTTTGTTTCGGATATATTGTGTTAGCCCACTTAAGTTACAAGTCAAGGAGACTGTGTATTGGGTTTGTTTCGGATATATTGTGTTAGCCCACTTAAGTTACAAGTCAAGGAGACAGTGTATTGGGTTTGTTTCGGGTATATTGTGTTAGCCCACTTAAGTTACAAGTCAAAAAGTCGGTGTATTGGGTTTGTTTCGGGTATATTGTGTTAGCCCTATAATTTGTTATACCAGTGAGCACCCAAAGGGTTATACTGTCACCTTCATGCTGGCTACCTGCTTATTCCATGCTGTTTCCCTTACCAGTTTTGGGCTAGGACATTGGCTCTCAATCTTCATAATGCCGCGACCCTTTAATACAGTTCCCTCATGTTGTGGCGACCCCCAGACAATTATTTTCCTTTATAACTTCAATAAACATGTGTTTTCCAATGGTCTTAGGCAACCCTTGTGAAAGTGTCGTTCAACTCAAAAAGGGGTCGCGACCTGCAGGTTGAGAACTGCTGAGCTGGGAGCTCAGGTCCTCAGTGTGGATTTTATGACCTGACTACTAGGCCAGCAGGCAAACATCCTAGCCAGTGCAGTATTATATAAAAACCTGGCATAGTAGCTCAGATGGTCCCCTTGTAGATTCCGGGGCCCCATTTTGAAAGAAAAATAGGACAGACCCATGTCGTAACAGGTGACCAATTAGGGGTTTCCTGCCAACCGCCCTTTTAAAGGCAGTCGCAGAAGATGTTCAGATCGAAGCATTTAATTATATTTCCAAGTCACATGTTATTTTATTCACCGAAAATTCTGACAGGGTAAAGATATTTTATATGAGTATTTCAGCTTACATACTGGCCACATTCTCAAAAAATTAAAATTGTAAATGCGGTGTGTGTGTATATACATACACCCCCCCCCCCTTCCCCTCCCCCCGGCGCTAGCAAACGCAAATATATAAAATACAGTTTTCTTCTTCTTCTGGGTTCATTTTACATAGTTTTCTCTTGTTGGCAGCAGTACTTCATTCATATTTACCTAATACTGTCAGTGTGTAATTCATCACAGTTGTCATAATAATGCCTATACTTCCCCTTTATGTTTTTCATGTGCTAGGTGAGATTCTTTTTTTTTTGGGGGGGGGGGGGGGGGGGGGGGGGGGGGGGGGGGGGGGGGGGGGGGGGGGGGGGGGGGGGGGGGGGGGGGGGGGGGGGGGGGGGGGGGGGGGGGGGGGGGGGGGGGAGGGTAACCACTGTCTTTTAAATGTCTTAGTGGGACTTGTTCAGTGTATAATTACATTAAAATACTACTAAGTAGCAGCATTTTCTAACACATGACTAATACCTATGTCATAACAAATAGTTCTGTCTTAACAGCACAGTGACTATGTTCAGACCTTATATATAGATCTGTATTCAACCTAGTCTAGTCAGATGGTTACCTAAAAACTTTAAAATTTATTTAGAAATGTAAAACCTGTAGAAAAAAATGTTTATTTAAGTTTTTAATGTTGTTATCTGGTGTATGTGGAAGCTAAGTATCTGGCCTTAAACAACCACAGCACTTCTATTTTCTTCTCTTGTTTTCTAATTGTAGACAAGCAGGTTGTATGGGAAATACCTGAGAGCAGAGAGTTTCCGCAAAGCTCTCATTTATCAGAAGAAATATTTGCTGCTGTTGCTGGGCGGGTATAGAGACACAGAGCAGGAGACCCTGGCTATCTTAGCCTCCATGGGCGGCTACCCCTCTTCTTACGCTGGCATGTCTTCGAGGAGGAAGCACTCTAGAGCTATCATGATGTTTAGATCAGCTGGTAGAGTGGTGATTGCAGTGTTTAGGTAAGTACTTTCTTTTATTAATCAAGTCAGTTTCAGCTTAATGAAATCTCAGCAATTAGACTGAGAACTTATGTAATTTTAAACATTATTCATCATCGTCATATGAATGCTAACAAGTGTAGGCATTCATAGTTCACTTGATGACCAGATCGAGTCTTTGGTTCTCACCCAACCCATGCCAGTTAGGCCATTAAGATTATTTCTGCTCGCAGTGTCCAGGAAATCTTGACTACGTCTAATTTCTCTAAGCATTTTACAGATTTTCATCTGTTTCTACCTAATTTATGTTTTGCCTGTAGCTGATATTCGTTGCATTCTCCTCATAAATCATATCTCCACTACAGTGAGATGTTTCTCAGTTTCTTTGCTTATTTTCTATGTTTTGACATTGCATCATCTTATGGCAGGTCATTTGCAAAACGTTGCTCTCATATTCTGCCAGCTCCCCCACCTCGTGTACTTTTTTTTTATATCAAGGAGTCACTTATATCCTGTACCTATCTTCTTTGTCAGCCCCTGCCCCTCCTTCCTGGTACCATGCCTTCTGCTATTATTTTTTCCAATGCGCCTTGGGTCTAGACATGATCAAAATATTTAAGCATTCTGAGATAAAAGGTCCCTAGACCTATATTTTAATAGACCAATGGGCACAAGATTTGGGATGTGGTCAGTCAGCATCATGCTGGATGCCTTAACTACCCAGGACTGCAACCTGGTACCCACTCAAAGCTGGGTCGACCTGGGAGTCAAGGTCATTTTTGAAAAAAGTCCGGCACCACCAGGGAGCGATCCCACGACCTTCCAATCTGCACATGAGCATCTAGTCGCTACACCACATGGACTCCCATTCTGAGACAAGATGCTGTTTATTATCCAGTCTTCCTTGATGATGAGATCTATTAAAATGCCAGTATTTCTTCTCTTCTTTGACATTACACACTTTAAAATTAAAAAAACATGTTTCCTGTGCCTAATTTTAAGGATTACATTTAAGACTATGAGTTTCTTTGACCATCTCTTGAACATTTTCTTCCAAGGATACCTAGAAAACTGCTACAAACATATGAATATCAGTAGCTGTCTTTATGAAATCCTTTGAATTTAACTTCTGCTTTTGTATTGACCAGTCTAAAATGGGTACCAGATAGTTCTGAGAAATAAAGACGGCTGGCATGATGTTAATCACATCACACACTGAGTGCCTGCTATGAGATGATTCTTGGTTGGCAGCTTCTTTTCTGTGTCTGTAAATATATGTCTCTAGCATCAAATGCCCAATTCGTCACTGGTGTGGAAAGGTCCTTTACTTTTTATATGCATTGACATTCAGTTTATCAGATTCCTGGAGAATGCTTGCATCTAATGGAGTGTAGTTGGTGTAAAGACATTACTCTCAGCCAGGTACCAAATTACTGTCTCCATAGGGACACTGTTGCAGAGCTCTCCATTCCTTCTGCAATCTCAGAAGTCGGTTGTTGTGCCAAGTCCAGTGGTGGAACTTGAGACATACAAAGAATATTGCCACATCTAAAGTACAAGAATAAAAGTAGAATACAAAGGGAAAATAGATTCAGTATCATAGCAGGAATACATAAAGTTCTTGCAGCACAACTCTGGCTTTACAGGCCAAGAAGCATAAGATAAAGAAAGGATGACATATACACACACATGAAAAAGTTACATATTAAAAACGCTGCAGTCTGCATAGAAATATTCTTGTATTGAAAGTTCAGTTTCTTATGCTAAAGAAAAACAGTTCCTTTCAATTATCCTTTTAAATTGTTTATATTTTAAACAGAATGAAATACCTGGTCAGGAAATGGAAAAGAGCAACTAGAGTTGGTTCCCCTGTTGTCACTGGCCAGATTAATAATCAGCATGGTAAGCTGCTTTAAAAGTGTGGATGTTTAGTAGTTTGGTTCTTCCAGATGTATGGCGAATGGGTAAACAGACTTTTCATCCGTGTGTGACTAAAATTATGTGGAAATAAATCAGGTCTGGAGCCACAGTTACTTAGTGGCTGGACACTCACTTGCCAGCCTGAAGAAGATGGGTTTAAATCCATATTGAGACAGATCATTTTTTCATCAAAATTGACCTTGGATTTCATATTGACCCAAACTAAAATGGGTACCAAGTAATGTCCTGGGTAATAAAGGTGAGTGGCGTGAAGTTGACCCTATTATCCACTTGGTGCCGAGGGGTCTATAAAAAATATATATGTATTCCTATTTCCCTAATGTGCCAAAGGTTTGAAAAGGGTCCTTTGCAGGATGTTTTTTTCTTTAATTGGACAGTCAGAATATTACAAATTTGTCTAATTTTTTTAGGCGATTAATGGATGTAGAAGTGTTGTTTCTAAAATGCTTTTGTTTAGATTTTGTTTTGTTTCATTCCGTGAAGATTTAAATTTATTTTTTCTTCACTCCCTTGCTTCAGCCTACATTCCATCAAGCTCAGCTTACTTAGATCACCAGCGACACTTCCAGGAGCCACATTCGCAGCATTCCCCAAACACCAACACTCACACTGCTCGCAGCAGCAATACGGACTACTTCAGTTCCCTTTCCAATGAAGGAATGTCTTCCCCCACTTCTGAAGCATATCAAGGAGCAGCAGCTTCTCGGGTTAGGCCTTACCGATACACGACGCCACCAACGAAGGATCTTGTGTCACAACTCAAGTCTAATTCTAGAGGGAAAAGTGAAGAGTCCAGAAGGTAAGGCTTTGTAAGCCTATTTTAGGTAAAAGTCCATCCACGTTTTTATAAAATGTGATTTAGACGAGCAGTAAGATGAAATCACAGCTAGCCTGCACTATTGTTTCTATTCATTCTGTTAAATTTTTGGCAGCAGAGACAGCAGAATAGAATAATAATACATTCAGAGACTTATAGTTGTGTATTATGAAGAAATAAACATATTGTGCTTTATGCTCTAGGACATTTATTCTTCTAGATTTATATGCAATGAAAAGAAAATATATGTTGTTTTATGCTGTAGAAAAATATATATGGTATTTTCTAGATATATGTTTAGACCAGAAAAACAAATATGACTTTTTGTTGTAGATAAATGATGTGACTAGAAAATATGGTGTTTTTTTTTTCTTCTTATGTTTAAGATGTGTGACATCACTAGACAAATGTGTTTTTTTTTTCTAGAACTGTGACACGAAGAGTGTGCTGTATTTAATTATTATCTGTTGGTGTAAAAAGTTTTAAAAAATAAAAAAATTATAATTAACATCTATATTCCATATGATTTGTGTAAAGAATTTAACTTTCCTGTGTGTAAATCACAGACGTACTTTGTTTGATGAAGACACAAGCTCCAGATACACACCAAGTGCCAGACCCCAGTATACAGAGAATGATGACGGTTTTCTGCAGTATCTAGAGAATGTCCAGCAGGAGCTCAGCGAGGGCAACTACAGTAAGTTGAATTTATTACACAACCTGTTGACTTCACAGAACATTTCTCATGTATTTGTAAATCTTAATTACATAAGCTATACTTCCGATGTTGATTAGAGAAGCCAAGAATGCTGGACTGGATTCCATCCATGATGTCAAAGTGAGAGCACAGGTTAGAACAACAGTAAGTAAGTGAAAAGTGAAGGACCCTTTTCCGTCCCTTTAGGCGTATAGGGCCTAAAGGGCTAGACCTATATTTTATAGACCAATCGGCACAAGATGGATGATGTGGTCAGCATTACGCCGGCCGCCTTTACTTCCCGGGACTGCACCTGGTACCCACTCAAGGCCGGGTCGACATGGGAGCCAGAACAACAGAAGGGAGAAATATACTGCGAGCCGTATGTCCCATATAATGGGATACTAGGACAGTGAATAAATAAATGCTTCTAATACACATGATTCTTAATTATAAATCCTGTTAAACTAAAGAAAATGGCAGACAACAGAGAGAGAAAAACTGTGTACACAAAAGAGTTAATGGGAGTAGACCACGAGGCAGACCAAGAAGATGATGTAGAGATAGTTTACAGACAGACCTACAAACACATGGAATCACCAACTGGAAAGAGAAGTCCAGTCAGAGGTGAATGGTGGCAGGCGATATCTACAAATTAACTTTAAGGGCTCAGAATACTGAAGAAGAAGTTTAAAGTAAAGAAATTGACCCTTTTCACGCAATGGGTGCATTAAGCATATGGGGCCAGACACATGTTTCTGTTCATAGACCTATCAATGCTAGATGAGTGATGTGGTCAGCATCACGCCGGTCACCTTTACTTTCCAGAACATTTCTTTGAGACCTGGGTTAACTTGACAGCCTAGTTAAGATGCTGACAGTGTGCTCTGTGAAGGGGGTGTTGTTCGCTACGGGAAAAGTCTGAATATTTTATAAAACTCACGTTCACTAATTAATTTGACTTATGTAAATTAAGGTAATGAAAGAATAAAAACAAATTTTTTTTATTGGTTTTGTTGTTGAAATAAAAGTAATGTAAATACATTTATGTTTTTTAATGAATGAAGATAATCTAAATATTAACAATAAATTATTCAGTGGCACAATTCGTACAGAGCCACCCATCATGCATGGTTTGTTGCTTGGAAAAAAAATAAGTCAAGACTCAACAAGACTGGTAACATGGTTAGTAAATTCATTTACCAACAGAGTAATATGGGATTCAATGGTGTTGTTAGGAATTTTATCAGATTGGTAGGGCCCTGGTGTGACCCATTGTTACTTAAAATAAAGATATCCACATAATCCACCGACTGCTGATTGGTCTTTAAATTTGTAATCTAGTTCAGTGTTTCCCAACCTCTTTACACCCGTAGCCCACCAAATTGGGGAAAATCATTTCCCAGGCCCACCTAACCAAGGGATTTATTTTTCCAAATGTTACCTTGACAAGGAGGATCCTCATTTTAAGAGAAATAAATATCAAAGTGGTGCAGAGCCAGCCACTCTATCTGCCTGCTCATTTCCCCAAACTGGCATGGTGTGTTTTCAGCTAAAATCTTTAAATACTGACATGTTATGATGAATGTCACATGTGGCCATTTGGTTCTCATCCTTGAATTATTAATCCTAGATACTGCAATCCTGGAAGAAATAATCTACCTACCCTACCCTGTTATGTAATTAGTCTTAGTTACTCTTCATTTGGGAGTCGCCGTAGCACTCTTGTCGTGTTACTTTGAAAACATGGCAGATTGTGGTTAATACAGTATTTAGACATGCTGTTTATAAGTAATGTAAACTTGGGGAATGTTTATAAGGAATGTAAACTTAGGGAACCAGGAGACCAAATATTTAACACTAGCATCATTTAACTGTTTTTGAGTGATCGTGTTTGCTTATACTGGAATCACAGTCTTTGAATAAGTTAGTTTTTATAATCAACTTTTTGATCATTAGTTTATATCTAATTTTATTCCAGAAATTTGGCACTATACAGTTATAAAAATATACGTTTAAAATATATATATATGTGTGTGTGTGTGTGTGTGTGTGTGTGTGTGTGTGTGTGTGTGTGTGTGTGTGTGTGTGTGTGTGTGTGTGTGTGTGTGTGTGTGTGTGTGTGTGTGTGTGTGTGTGTGTGTGTGTGTGTGTGTGTGTGTGTGTGTGTGTGTGTGTGTGTGTGTGTGTGTGTGTGTGTGTGTGTGTGTGTGTGTGTGTGTGTGTGTGTGTGTGTGTGTGTGTGTGTGTGTGTGTGTGTGTGTGTGTGTGTGTGTGTGTGTGTGTGTGTGTGTGTGTGTGTGTGTGTGTGTGTGTGTGTGTGTGTGTGTGTGTGTGTGTGTGTGTGTGTGTGTGTGTGTGTGTGTGTGTGTGTGTGTGTGTGTGTGTGTGTGTGTGTGTGTGTGTGTGTGTGTGTGTGTGTGTGTGTGTGTGTGTGTGTGTGTGTGTGTGTGTGTGTGCGCGCGCGCGCGCGCGCGCGCGCGCGCGTGCGTGTGCATTTCTCTCCACGGCCACACAACTTCAAACGACGGTCGACACCAGCTGACACATTTCACAGGTTTATTATCACTGTAGCACATGAATCAACAGAAGAACCAACTTACACCATTCGGGCAATCTCGACTTGCTCACGCATTAAGGCTCCAGACATGCTTCAGACGATGGACACTGGTATATACACGGCCGGCTCAACAATCAAACCGTGTAACACAACGGCTGGCCTTCACGATCATTCATTCGACTCTGATTCAGATCCACGTACACTCTTCATTTTGGATTCACCTTCACAGATTCAGCTTCACATCCTTCCAGTCTGGGGCCCAGTCACCGAAAGACCACCTCATTCTCAATCCCCCAGATCTCGCATTCACACGTGACTCACTCTCTCTTGTCGTTTCACCATATCTCCGTGAAACCCATGCTATCAGGGACTTACCCAATTATGCCAGTCATCCCCTGACGTTATCCCTATTTATAGCATCATTACATCTCTCCTTCCCTTAAACAAACAAAAATATGCAATATATTTTTTTCCATAAACCTATATAAACTCTCATAAGAATATATTGCCTTAATTTATTATTATTCTTTTACTGTTAGCTTTAAGCTGAAATTTTACCATAAGTTTTCTGACTTGTACAACATATGTTGCATCTCTTGTCATTCCCCTTGACAGTTCTTGGCAATATGCTAACAGAATCATCTCCCCAAAGCGTCCCTCAACAATGGGGATGACCTTATAGGTTCTGTGACGTACTTATCAAGTCCTGAAGTCAGTCTTTCTGAAGAAGACTGAACAACACCCCAAAGCGTTCCTCAACAACGCGGAAGTCCAAAAATGGCTCCAAAACCAGACTTATAAGTCACACAGTTCTGTATGTCCCCCATAGAACCAAGTTCCTGTTGACAGTTCATTTAAAGTGATTGCTATTCCTTGTTGGTATTCGTCATTTACCATGGTTCACACCAAAAGCTTTGCTAGAATTTCCTTTTTTCAGCATTGTGGCAATTTTGTTATATAATAATAATAACTGTCTGTGGGTGGCAGAATGGGGCTTAGTAACAGTGTATTAGGAAACTAGGAGGTATAACAGACAGAACTCAGTGATTAGTGTAGCAACTTTCAGGCTAAAAGAGTTGAATAGATCAGGCGATCAGTTTGAAAGAAATCTTGTATAAAACGAGTTAGTTTCATTTTTGTGCTAAGACACTCTGGGGAATGAATGAGCGGATTGGCTTGCTGGCAGGGCCATGGTTGGCACAGGAAAAATAGTGGACTGGGCCGACATTCTCAGTGCTCTCAAATAAGCAGAGCGAGAAGATGATTTGGGGGACGACATTGAATCGGCAGAGCAAAAGACGGCAAGAACTTCAGGTCAAAAGTGGTTTCACTTAACATGAACACTATGCCAGTAGTCAAAGAAAAAAGAATAGTAAACCAACATAGAACAGGTGTTGTCAGTTGCCAGGCACTAAAGGATTTACTAAAGATCGGATCTGAGCACATAAGGACTTGCATGATGTGCAGTGAGGATAATCTGTCAATCAAGTAATTAAGTAAGGTAATCACACTTCCAACTTTATAGCAGACGGTCACCCCATAGTTTATCTGTTCCTGTGCCCAAAAAAAAAAAAAACGCACAGAATCTCTTGAGTTAAATATCACGGATGGTCGGGTTAACCACACACAAAATACACTCTTGTATATTTGGCTGTGAGCAAAATATAAGATAAAATTACTCAAGCAAAATCATGCGCAGTCGATAGGAGACTTACTTTTAAATTAAGCTGCGACATACTGCAGCCCACGGCCGATGTTCAAAACCTGGCGGTTCTCGGGGGTTCACTCAGCCTCTAGGTAATAGGTACCAGAGTTAACACTCTGGGGTAAATGGAGAAACTTCGCTGTAGCTACAGAGTTTCATGCGGACTGTGACACAGACAGACATTTTCTTATCAGCTGTCCGTACTGGTGGCAGAGCATTTATGGTTTATAACCGTGTGCAATGATGCTTGTTCACATCTCCTGACTTTACCTTTACCTTTATGTACTTTTTTTTTCCAGGTACCCCATCTCTGTCATCTGCCAGACGTGTCACCTGGAGGTAGCAGTAGCTGCACAAAGTTCAATGACGATTATCAGTTACCTCATTATGCCGAAAATTCTTGTAAATATTGGTATCACACAGCTTTCATTGAGTAAAAACTGGTGTTACACCGGTTTCATTGAGTAAAGTCAAGCCGCTTTCATTGAGCATCTTCAACAAAAACTTTACATTTGCCATGCTGTCCATGTTAATATATTGTTGCCCTGCCTTCAGTACATTTTATAAAGCTGTATACTTGAAGTTTAATTAAAGATCAGAACAGCAGTTAACTGCAAGGTATAACAACACCATCACTTTGCATAACATAATGAGTGTCTTTACAAATCAGTAATGAACCTTTAAATTTGCCTGATTGTCCTAGCAATATTAATTTGTGTGAATCCTGTATCTGAGTATAGGTTAAATAGGTTTTACTGTTTTTACAGCAAAGGCATTATTGGACTTCTAGGCATAGTAGGCTAACTTTTAGGTATTTTGGCTGCCATGACATGTGGATTTGTAAATGTGGGAGTTTAAAAGTAATTTGCCATGCACAACATATTGATTTTCAAATGTGAGCTATTATAGGCAATTCATTACATATCGATTTGTGAATATGGGTGATTACAAGTAATATAGTGTTCATGACATATGGATTCATAAATGTGGGGGATTATAGTGTAATATAGCATTCATGACATGTCGATTTATAAATGTGAGAGATTATGGATAATATAGTGATCCTGATATGTGGATTCATAAATGTGGGGTATTATAGTGTAATAAAGCATTCATGACATTTGGATTTGTGAAAATGGAAAATATACCCTTGTAGGATTGCATTCGTGACATTGACTTGTAAATGTGGGATTCTGTAGGTAAGTTTTCATTTACAAACTGGGGAAATTGATTGTAGTTCTCATGACATGTTGATTTTTAATTGTGGGGAATTAAAATTAATGTAGCACTCATCCTCTTATATTAACTTTAAAAATAGGGAGAAATGGGTAATTTCTTGACATATTGATCTGCAAATGGGAGTTATTGATAACTTCTTACATACTGATATGCAAAAGGTAATGTCATGACATATTGATCTGAAAATAGTAGATATAGATAACTTATATACATCTTAATCTGCAGTCAGGGGAGATACAAAGTAATTTTGTGATATATAGATCTGAAAATAATAGATATTGATAAATTATTGACATTTTGATCTGCAAATTAGGGAAGATGTAGGTAATTTCTTCATATGTTGATATGCAAATGGGAAATATTGGTAACTTCTTATGTATTGATTTGCAAACTGAGAGGTTTGAGGTAATTTCTTGCCATATTTATCTGTAAAATAGGGAGATAAAGGTAATGTCTTGACATATTGATCTAATAGCTGGGGAGATGTAATACTCATGTCATGTTACTTTGAAAACTTGGGAGATTGTGGTTAATACAGTATTCAGACATATTGATTATAAGTAATGTAAACTTGGGGTATCAGGAGACCAAATATTCAACACTAAGATCATTTGATTATATTGAACGATGGTCTGTACTTATATTGGAATCACAGTTATTGAATGTTTTATAAGTTAGTTTTTATAATCAATCATCTCACTATTAGTTTATATAATCAACTATTTTATTAATACTGGCTTTCAACTTAAAAATATATTAATGAGTATACCATTATCAGTATTTATATTTTATTACTCTTTGAGTACCAAGCGACTAACAGTAAGTATCTTGATCACTCCAAAGACATACTTTTCTTGCATTCTTCGGTAAATGATAGTTACTATATTATCAACTCATTTTATCCTATTGTATATTTTAACCCTTTTTGCCTGTTAAAAAATTAAAATCATGTAAAGTAGCAACTAACTTCTTTCTTTGATCAGCAGTCATCCTGTATGTATGTAGCATCACAAACTTGACTCGCATTTGTTGAATCAGTCTTTTTATATTGACTTCTTTTGCTCTTTCTCCTGTGGTCAGCTACATGGACATTCTAGTGATAAATATGCTTACTTTTAGCATCCAATTCCACTTTTGCTAATAAAACAATGCAGATTTTTTCCTGTTTACATTTCTATTTATTCTACTTGGCACAAGATGCATTCGTCCCTTTGTGGGATGCATTTTTGGGGGGTTATTTTGAAGCCCCACCCTGGCTTTTGCCGGGTGCCCTGAATATAGCCGGACCATAAATATGCCCTAATGGCTGAACAGGATTTCTGGGACCTCTCCACTGGTGATCCTCATCCACATGGTGGCCCTTTGTGTTGCCAGGTGTTTATCGCTTGTGTTATGTCCTGGTGGGGTACAACTTACAATTCTTTATTAGCAGTTGTGCCCAGTTAGGATTTATGAAGGACCTCTTTAGTTGTATAGAATGCGTGCCAATGTGAACATTTCAATTACTGTTTCTTTCTAGCATTCTCTTACAGGTATAGATTCTCCATTTTCACGTACAGTCAATTTGTTTGTCAAGTGTTTTACTATCTGTTTTTATAGTTCCTGTTGTTAATTATAATTTCTACCTACAGATCTTATGTTCTGTGGAAAGCTGATGATATTCTGTTTTTTTATAGATTTATTTTATTTCATCGGAAATTAACCTGATTATGTCATTAAATGCTAATTACATTTGACATTAATCTATGCAGCTGATCACAAGTAACATATTTGTAATTAACATACTGTTAATTTTAGTTGATCTGTTCACATAACAAATTCCGTCACAATCCAAAACTGTGATAATGTGGGAAAATAGTCACACTAATGGATATATTAGCAGATTTGAATAGGAATAGCTAGTTATTCTTAACATTTTTGTTAAATAAGGTCACATTATTTTGCTTGTCTCATTAACTAAACTGTGTTCTGTGACTAGAAATAGAATTCTGACAGTTGCTGTGTTGACTTGATGACTTTTCATTTGGTGACTTTGCCTTAATTGTGTTGAAGTCACTGGAAATTGGCTAAATTGACACTGGTTGTGTTGATTGCTTCTGAATTATGCTGTTGTCACAGAAAATTGCCTGAACAGTGTTCTTTTTTTTTTTAAATTATTCAAAGTCTGCTACATACAGTAACTTTCAGCCTTACTGGTTAGTTTTGTTATTGTTTTTGGTTTAAAAATGAAACAAAAGAAAGAGTGTAAAAGACTTTCTTTGTTTATTTTTAAATTTCAAGTTGTACTCCCATTTTTAAATAATAGCTTCACTCACTTCTAACCATTCAGCCAATCAGATGCCACCCTTACAGCAAAGGTTGACACTGTTTCTTTGTCCCTTCAACATTTCGTTCTGATATGAATTTTTCAGAGCAACATTCTGTTAACATAGCTGAAACATTTAACATTTTTGTTTTTTAACTTTCTTCAGCTCTCTTGAACTAGTGTATTATTTTTGTTTCCATGACATGCAACAACCTATTCTTCTATTTACTTGCATCTTCAAGACCTTGGTTTGACTTTACAGTTACCTGTTCATTGTCCAGGTTTCTGCAACACTTTTTTATTAGCATTGAATGTATTTAACATTCGATATTATTCATTTAAATGTGTATTTAAATGTCTCTCTAGATGTTTTCATTGTTTCATGTGGAAATTATATTTAGCCATTCCTATTGTCTTTTGATTGTTGTTCGACTTCCTTTATCAACTGTTAATATTTGTTGAAGATAGGATCTAACCATTGAAGATCTTGTACAGTTTGTATTCCTGTGTTTATTTTGAGAGAAGAACTTATCGTGTTTTGTTTTTAAGTGCTGTCATGTTCCATCAACTTGTCAGTGTTTTAGAGAATAACAAAGTGCCTTTCTTTGCTGATTTTAACATTTTACCTGCATAAACAAATAGTTACAGTACAATATTTGTTTTCCAAGTATCTTTTGATTATTTTAAAATTGAAATGTTTTATATGTATGATTGTTTCATTCACACATGGTTGTTTCATTCACACATACCATTGTTTCTCATTCTTATATCTAGCCAGTGTGTTTGCTATGTTATCATATCTATGTGTATTTTTTATGGATATTTGCCATTTGTCACATGTTAACCATACATAACAAACCTCTGTATGTTTTTTTGTTTCATCACTCAAGTGCATGTACAAACAATGTAATAAATAATGTAACTTTTCCACAAAAGCACTGTGTTCCTAGTTTAGTCAGTGAAGTGCCATCTCCATAATAAAGGTTGGCTGCAATGAATCAACGGCACATTGTCCTTATCCTGGCTGTACACACTCTGGAACTACTGATTGACCATCTATTGATGTTGTCCTCCCACTTGTAAGGCTGTCTACCCCTTTCTCTCTTGCCTGGGTGATGTAATAACATGCCAACCACTTTCACGTCCCATGATATTTCCTGGTACCCATTTTCAGCTGTAAAAATCTGCTTCAAAAGAGAAGTGAGACCAGGCCGGCAGGCAGTAGTGCTAGCCATTTTGCTACCGTGGTAATCAGGTACTCACAGTTCCAACTTCAAGCAAACATGTCCCCCCATATTAGCTCCATTCCTGTGCCAACAAAAAACGCAGACTGCAGTCTTAGCAAATCCAACAGCGTACACATGATCATAAGGCAGCCGTCAGAACTGCAACACAAATGTTCCCAACACTAGGAATGCAGTTCAGTGTTGGTGAAAGCAGCAGTTAAACAGATTTCATGATATCAGTGTGCAGGCAGCAGGACCCACACGCACTAATATATCTTTGCCATCGTCACCTAACTGCTAAACAGCATTAGTCGACAAAGTCTTTTAAGTAGTGAACTGCACTATACCAAATTCACATTGGTGATAATTCCAAGTTTTGAGAAGAGAGCATCTGAACATTGAGTGGTAGATGAAAAGTAAATGGTTACATGAAAAGAAAACATGACCTATTTGAGACAGGAATTCACATTTTGTTAAGTGACAATAACAAAATTGCACTTTTGTAACTTTGGTGGAGTGCAATTTAGCACATAGGTTGTTTTGTCATAGAGCCAACGATAGATTTATGATTTT